TTAGAGCATTATGTGTCTGGCCAAGGTCCTCTGAGGGTAGGGTCCTTGCAATAATAATGACAATCTCCAGCCATCTGACTGAATGTCCCTTCATTAGGCTGTATAATGAGTTGCCTATTCTGTGGGTTGGTGGGGGTCAGAGGGGGTCCACTAGGTCCTATTTTCCCTGGAAGCGCTGTCACCAGCTGGGATAGAAAACCAAAAAATAAAGCATTCTCATCCAAATTAAGCCTCATAGAACAAAAGGAATTAAAAAGGTGAGAGTCCCTAAAAGCTGCCTGAAATATGTTTGGAATATGAAAAGAACTTTTATACTGAGGCTGGGTATTTTAATGTGGTATCTGAGACACATACACACCCACATTCATACATGGTGAAAAAATATGGTGCAATAGTCTCTATATTTTTAATTCAGCAGCAGCAGGATCCTCTCCAGGACTTAATGAAACAAACAGTATTTAGTGAAACAAAGAGAATAGATTAATGAAAGGCAGTTTTTTAATCACTATCATATACTAATCATTTCAAAGTTAAGGTAAGTTGATGTGTGAAAAGGGTGAATGCTGCTAGAAATATGTATATCTTTGATGTATATTTTACTCATATTTTAAAAATTTAGGATGGAAAGGTGACCCAATGGATGGCTGGCTTGAGTCCTATAACTCTGTTCTATGTGTGTGAAGTTTGCATCTTCCACTTTATTTCCTCCTGTAGTTAGGGAAATTGGCTTCAATCAATTGCCCATAGTACATGTGTCCTGCGATGGACTGCTATCTTTTCCAGGGTGTAACCCAGCCTTGTGCAGGCTTGAACAGGCCCTCTTACATTCATGACAAGATGGATGTGTTTTAAAATTTCACAGCATGTGTATTTACTTGTGTTACTTTAATGTGTATTAAAGATATTTAATGACAGATTTATGAGACAGCTGGATATATAACTGTAAATGTATAAGGTAAGGTTTGATCCTGTTGAATTCTTTCACTTTCCAGTCACATTTCCCAGACAGGATTGTGGGTACATCTTAAACAGGATACCAGTCCAGCACAGGACATACATGCACACAGGTTACAGAGACACCAGTTAGCGTTAGAGTTAACTCACTTGCAATACTTCATGCTTTAGTGAACATTTAACTAGCATCCACAGCACAAATAGTCCATCTACAACATTGCTGACGTCAACGCAAAACCATATTTGAGCCTCATCAAAGCCGTCTTCTGTTTTTAAGTCATATGCGGTTTTAGGTACTTTAGCTAGACTAGAAAAAAAAATTCCCAAGATAAAGGTTTAATCTGTATTAATTAATATGGAACTAATTAAATGTTACATTTTGTATTAAAGGAAGATTAGGAAAGAATTGTCAAGAAAAAGTTAACTTTTGAAGGGCTGCAATTACATCATATAATCTAAAAAAAAAGATTAAATGCACGCAGCACCGTGCAAATACTGCAGCACGGTGCTGCAGAGCGGCGACCACCAACTTGCAGTCGGGCGTGAGCCGCCCATAGCAACACTGCGCGCGGCAACAGTGTAGCTGGCGGTTGTTCTGGAAACAAACCGGAAGTAAAAGCGCAGGCATTTTTCTTGTCTCGCGGCTGCGGGCGCGAGTGCAATGACTGCAGGCGGGAATGTTGCCAGCTGCGTAAAACGACGACAGTCCCCCTGCCGAGGCGCAATGGTGCGAATTTATAAAGGCTTTAACTGTATCATAATGGTACACAAGTAATACGAGTTTTTAAGTTTGTGCCGTGACTTTAGAAATAATATATTTTGTTGAATATTTTTAGGAATTTTATAGTTCAGCCTTCTCGTTTCACCTGTAATGGCATAAAGTTAGAGGAAAGTCATTTACTTTTAAGCAATTTAATTGATTAAATTCAAATTTGTTAAGTTAAACTTTACCTTACTTCTGCCAAAATATTGGAGCCCGTTCTTGTTCGACTTATATTAATATTATATTCTCGACACTGCTTTTTTTAGGTATCTAGCTCTCTCGAGACATTTTCGAATTTGAGCAAGATTGTCTAAAATTTCTGTTCAAATTCTCGAAAACTTTTAGATGTACTTGCTCTTCCTCAAAGTAAGTTACATTTCAATGGGATTAAAATCATTTAAGCCTTAGGCAAATCTAGGGTACGCAGGTGTTGTGCTATTTTATTTTAGCTTCTATTATGACTCAATTTGCCACAGTTTGTATAATATTCTGTCAGATTTGCTGTCAGGGAAACATTTTAAGGTAAACTAACGTGTGATATATTGGAAATATAATACCGCCAGTTTTATGGAAGATAATGATTACGTTTTTAAAATGATATTTGACATGGCGATAAACGTTACTTTTATTGATGGATGCTGAAGTAAGAGCCCCCCCCCCCCCCTCCCGCTAAATCATGGTACAGGGATGATGTTCCGGTTACTAGGTGATGTTCTGGATAATCATGTGGCTTCGGCGTAACCTGTATTTATAGTCAATCTGTTATTTCCAGTTCACTGTGCTGCTACGAGACATAAACATGTCCTTCCGCATGAAATGGTTGTCTGTGTTTACGAGCGGCTGAAACCTGAAATAACACTGATAATGAGAGTATTTAAGTGCGACATAATGAAAATAGTGTCGTAACTAACCCACGTCACGTTTTACCCATTGAAGCTATAAAATTAATAGACTGTGTAAGTAATGGAAGACGAGAAAAACTTTAATCCTTATCGATAATCACTGCGGTTAACCTTGTTATTCGTGATGTGCCCGCAGTGTTAGCGAGGAGTAGTATGGCGACGTTCCCGAATCATCGCACTTCTGGACTGAGTCTTCCCTGTAGCTTATTGAGTTACACGATGGTGTTACCGTTGACGTGAGTCCAGCTATAGTTAAATCAAAATGCCAGAAGTATCACTACTAGCGATCTCTATGCACGACGTCCCAAGGGGAATATCTAAAATAATGCATATAAGTTTATTACACTGATGAGTATGCTGATCGACGGAAGCAATTAAGGGTACCTTAATATCCGCCGTAAGCACTTTCGAAGGAATACTGTAAATATGATGCTACAGAAATGAAGCGACTTCATCATAGTTTGAGATTAATAACAAATGCCAACCCATGCCTCAAAATTTTTTAAGAACTGGATTTTCAGTAATGTACACTAATTAATTAGCTTTACCTGAAAAAAGTATTTAAGCTCAAGAACTTCATTTCCAGTTTTATAATGAAAAAACTGTTAAACTGTATGTTTTAATTGTCGAAGGAACAGATTAGGTTACTTTTATGTAGTACACTAAAATATGCACAGTATGTATGTTTCCCCTCACGTTCAACGTTTTATATAGCCTATCTTTCAACGTTTATATCTAATTTACAAATAGTTTTTTGAAGAAGCTACTATGTGTATGGAAAAATTTAACTTTTATTTTTAACTATTAGTACCAGTACGTAGGTAGGCTATACATCAGTTTACTTTAATACTAATTATCATTAGCAAGTCATTATTTCTCTTGTCATAAATCTTATATGAGTTGTATATAAACGTTAATAACGATATAAAATTCGTTGTATTGTGACATCTTAAAGTAATCCGTTATGTGTGCCGTTTTTAAATGCGTTTGTTGTCTTACCACGAATTTTAGAAGTTTAACTTAAAGTCTATGGTATGTGGTATGTTACTCACGCGCTTTGAAGAACGACTAACATATTAGTTTACCAAACCGATTGACTGAAACCCACTTTAAAACAGCTTAGCGAATATCAATCAGTAGTGTACCCAATGAAGTTCTAAGTCGCTTTGGATAACAAGCATCACCTAATAAATTAAGCAAATAAATGAGGATATTGATGTGTTTTACTAAAATATCATGTTAAAATACATTGCAAGTAAATCGGGAAAAATAATCAAGCTGCGAGTATATTGACAACCCACTATACAATATGTAGCCTTCCTGTTATGTTAATTTATTATTTATTATAAATGCGAATATAAGCAAAGCGGCGCCTATATTTTCATTCCTTTTAAAAAAGATTAATCAATTATAGAATAATTTAAAGCATGCAATCTTTTGTATCGGTGTTTTAGTTGAAAATTGCTGGCGAGGACACCGACGCAATTTATTTTTTATTTATTGTATAATATATGCCATTAATTTTTAACACCAAACTCAAACTGTCAGTTTTGTTGTTTAGAGCATTCATACGTCATATTATATATCTATGGCAATATGTGGCAAAACCAATTATAATCTATTTTTTAAACAATATATTTAAATATCAGTATTTTTTCTCTAAATATTTAAATGCATACCCTCAATAGCGTATCTTATCTTCAATAAACAAATGTATATGATCTTAAAAAAAAAATTGTGAAAATAAAATTATGAAGTTTGCATTTTTTTAAGTAACAGTAACGGAACGAAAGAATAATTGTTTAGTTTGCTGATTGATTGATTGATACTGATCCCATTAGTTACCCTTCTGCAGGGGGTGCGTGTGACTTTTTTTCTTTCAGTGTTTGAGACGGTAACATATCTGAATTTGACACATAGTATGTGCTTTTTATAGAAAAATGAAACAGTAACACGTGATAGCCCGGTGAGTTTAATCCCAAGACACCATAAAAAGTGGTTACTCTAAGATTAGTCATTAAAGGACATTATGCTTCACAATGATAAAATGATCTACAAAATTTCACTTGAAGTTAATATATTACTGCATAGAGCAAGAAGTTTCTTGTTGCTGAAATAAATCTTTATTTTCTAAAGTGACATTATGCAGTCTTACCATTTAGACATATTTTAAGACTAACTTAAAAAAATCAAAGTGGAAATATTTACTTTCAAATACAAACGTCTAGGCGTAACAAGTTTTTTTTTTTCTTCAAACTACTGACTTGTACAGATGTGGAAGCGATTACTCACTTATGCATCGCTATTTGTGGTATATTTGCCGGAGCAATGTTGTTCAGAAGAGAAACATACGTGCTGACAGAAAAAAAGGCAGAAACAGGTTGTAATTAAGTAATAAAAATGTAAAATGTTTATTTAGATAGACGTTTTATACTGTGCAACAGTAACAATACAATAGTTTTACATACAGTCGACCAAATACAGGATTTAGAACACTGTGGAATAGACACCACAAAACACTTGAAACAAAGAAACGAAGACTTATATAGGTAAGAGAAATAAGCGTCTGGCAGACACGTAGGACCTGTTAGTTTATTACACCTCTATGGTTCAGCTAAGTGATCATATATACAGGATTCTTTATCTAGAGCATGGTTTGCTGCTTTACGGCAGTCAATCCGAACTTAGAGCAATCAAAAGACTGAAATGACAGCAAAAAGAGAAGAGCTTATTTTTAGAAAACCAATACAAGCTTTACTTCCAACAACACTGGGATGTTTCCCTGCTGTTCCCATTCTTACTAGCCCAACACTTTATAAAATATAATACTGCTGCCAGTTGGGATACAGATAGCATAGTCTACTCCAGCATTGTAGGCCCCCTTATCTTCACACACGCCCCACCTGTCCATCCATCCATCCACCCACACACACGCACGCACACACCATGCAGCTCAGTTTCTTCATTTTCATTTCTCTACCTCTGGTACATCTTGCAGTTGCATGTTGCAGATAAGTAGAGCTGTACATAATATTTGTCACTTTGTTGCAGTCTCCCCCCAAATGACAGCTGCTTCGTGAAAGCTTAGATATACAACCCTTATTATAATGAATATAAACTGTAAGCCTTCGGTTTGACACTGATGAGATTCATGTCACGCATTCACTTATTAAAAAAGGCAAATAGTGAAAGGAAAATGAACTGTACAAATGAAACCCCATCGAATTCTGGAGAGGTACTTCCATGCCTATCCAAGCGTTCCCTGTAAAAACAGCCTTTGCCAGCATTACACTTTATGTGCTTGATTTCCTTTCTCCAACGCCGGCTTTAAACACTGAAATCAGCCGATATCCCCTATTTTCTACTGAAATGCAACTTCCACTATAAATTTCACATGAAAGATATAAAGACAAATGGCAATAATGTTTTTTTTCCTTTTTCTTTTTTTAAAGAAAGCAACTACAACAGCACTAAGTCAGCATGGGAGGATCCAGGTAATCAGACTCTGGCACCACACCCTCGTAACAGTCATCCAGAAGATGCAGACGAGCCATTAAGCGAGGCTTTCCGCGCCTTGTTGCAGAATGGCGGCTGGCGGTTTGGGCTCGGATTGGCGGTGGTGCCATTGACGGCACTGGAGATATGTGGGAAGTGAGGATGTGGAGACTGGACAGGGGTGCCAGGACTGGGCAGCGATGAGGAAGTGGATGGCACACCAGCGGGGCTGTTGGCCTTATCGCTGCCAGAGTCACTCTCCATCTCAGACCGGTTGGCACTGTTTAACCCCTCTGGTGGCTGAATAAGCTTCATCTTCTTGCAGCTGGGTCGAACTCGGTACTTCAATGGTAAGGGGCCATTCTGCAAAAGAAACAGCTCTATACTTCCAGCTCTCATGAAGGAATGGCTAGATACAGACAGCAGACCAGGATCAAACATGTTTAAGTCGCTATGCATCAGCAAAACAAGGGGTTTTGAATTCACAATCAAATATATATTTAACAGCAAGTTAAGAGTTATGGGGAAATTAATATAATCAGTGGCAACCAAGCTGTAAATGAGAAGCTATTAGCTAAAAGTTTCCCATTTACTACACTGTGCTTACATCAGTTATTTTAAGTGGCTAATTGTATACCAAGATGCATTCACCACAGATTACAATAGAAATTTATTGTGGGTTATTTTCAATTAAAACTCTACATTCACAAATCTATATAAATGAATACAATACACTGTGTGAGGTGACAGGAAACTACATATTTTAAGTTTGAGTGCCTTTGTGTATATTAAATTCACATAAATTGATAGTCTTACCCTTCTCCAGGTATAGATGTAAGCAATGTCCATTAATGTGTAGTAATCTTTCAAAGGTTCATCTTCATACATTACTTCGATCTGCATAATATACAAAGAAATAATGCTGTGGCTATTTTTTATTTCCAGGGAACAAAACTTTATGCTAACAAATTAGCAATGAACAAACTCAGTCATAACCATTTTGCAAGACATAATAAAATTCTACAAAAAAATACAAAATATAATCACACAAAATTTTCCATTAACTACAAGAATGCATCTACGCATCAGACCATAAAACCACAAAAATACAGAATAAATGGCAAAACAGTATCATCAGGGATAAGCTTGACTCACCTGGAAGGTACACGGAATATCCATTTTGCTTCTGAGAAATTTTCTCAGATGCATGACAGTCATAGCAGCTGGGCACTGCAGATATCGTTTGTCAATTATCTGCTGGGGGGGGGGGGGGGGGTTCATATTATGTTTAGAATAATAAGTCACTCAATCATTTTCTGTCTAGCATTTTATAAACAACTACAGTATAAATAAAAAGTAAAAAAAGGTAAATATAGATAGCAACCTCCTCCTTTGACTTCTCCTTTTCCCCATTTCCTTGCGTTTCAACCCTGAAAACACAGTACAAAGGTTACTGGCTGAAATTCACGGTATGACTCAATGCTGAGTTTAATATACCCATACCAGGAAAGGCTGAGCATGAACAAGGAAGATTTTATCAGGAACAAAATACACTGAATCAAAGCCTAAGCCATTACCCATTACTGACTTTTTAAGTAGAAAACACTACACAAAACATTTCAGTAATTTCAAATGTTCAATAAGTAAGTAGTTGCTAATTCAGCCAGAATAAAGCAAAATGCCAAGTCAAACCAAAGAATACACTCTAAATTTACATAGTATACTTCAAATTTTTAGTTATTACTGAAGAAATCACAGGAATTACCAAGTCTCTAAATAGATTATTTAAAAAAACCCACATTCAAATAAAATTAGTGTATATATGTGTACAAAGTATACAATTAAGGAGTGAATGTGTTAGTAATCGAAGAGAGTACTGATGATTTAATATGTAGCTTTTTTAATAAAATGAAAACTTCAATATTTTTTAAATGTACTAGTTTGCTACAGACAAATGTTATGGCATCAACTCATGCTCAAAGTCACCATCAGATCCATAAGTTCACATTTTTCATTATGAGTTGTACCTGCTGGGGTCAAAGAATTCTATGGACAAGCTGATTATCTCATCATCTGTAATTATTCTCTTGTCCTCGTCGGCCACCTCTCCACGGTCTTCATTTGATCCATTTGCAGCTTAAGATAAGAGACAGAAAGGACTTGTTACCCTCTCTCTGCAAATGTGGAAGTCAAGTCGATTCTTAATAATGCAACCTGAAGTACATCGAGGATTGTATTTCTATAGAGAGAACTGCTCTGTATGCCATCTGGTTTCATAGGGAAGGGAAAAATTAAACAAACCAACCATCAACTGATGGGTGTTCAGCATAGAAATCCCGTCTTCGTTTCATTTCATCTGTAGAGGAAAAGGAGGGAGGTGTTAAACCTAACAATTCTCATCTAGGAAAATCCATCAGCAAGGTCTTGTACATGTAAATTACTTACTTTTAAACAAACCGGGAACCAACTTATATACGATGTCTTGAAGAGTCTTATCAGACCTACAGTTAACAGCATAACAGTTAACATTTTTACAATACCCATTAAAAGTTACAACCAAAATGACAATTAAGCGATTCAAATTGTGAAATCTAATTCAAATATAGTATTACTTGTACATTTTGAATACAGTTTAACCTCTGCTTCTTTCATTCCTCTAGCAAAACAATTAAAGTTTTTTAACTTTAAAGTTACATTCCTGTAAGATGTTAGTAAGGATGCCTAAAAACTATTTAATACTTAAGGGCAAATATTTCCACAGAAAAAGTCAAGCCCTGTCCTAAGATAGGTAGCTTATAAAACTATCACTATGTTTTTCGGGTCTAAAATATGACTTACCTGATATTTAGAAGAGGCTTTGTTTTGTGTACCTGAACATCGCAAATTGGGCAGTATTTGCTGGTCTCAAGATAACGCACGATGCACATTTTACAGACTGTAGAAGAAGAATTTAGACAATTATTTAACTCATATGAAGCAGCAAGAAAACATTTGTGTTGCATGCAAATAGCGCAGACTGTGGCGGTTTGTAAACATGCAATGGAAGCGACCGCTGGCGCTACTTACAGGAGTGCAAACATTCCACGATGGTCGTAGCGTCGATGAAATATCCACCGCACAACGCACACATCAAATGTGGATTTAGCTCCGTTATCTTAATTCTGGTTGTTCGGTGCATCGTCATGGAAGGCAAATACCTACATGGGAAATATTAATGTCAAATTCTAAATTAGTTATCATTTCTTAATTTAAATGAATTAATTCAATTTTCACGAATGTCGTCCAAAGCCGTTTTAAACACGACTGAACTTTCCCTTTTTACATTTACACTAAGCCGAAGCACTTCCCATTTGTGGGGAAGGGGGTAATTGATAATTACGCATCATTCCAGAGCAGCGTCAACAACGTTTTCGTCTTAGGTGAGCATGTGCCACTAAAGAATTTTACATGTTAAGTTAGTATTTTCTTCCGATTGAAAGTACAATAGTGTTAAATCATTTTCCGAGGGATAGGATATTGATCCAACAGACGAATCATAGGTTTCTCAACGCATTCCCGGTTGGTTGTGTTGACTGGGCAACGTCTGGCTGCAACGCAACTGCCTTTTGTCATTACAAAGCACATTATAACCTAACTTAAGCCTTTAAATTGTCTTATTTCCACGTTTGACGATGGGGAGTGGTATCTAGTGCCAAACACGATAACTCTTATTGTTGCTATAGCAACAACTTAGGTTACACTTGGCATTTTGCCAATGAAAATAGAGCCCTGCTACAAGGGGGAACTGCAGCTCGTGCAGATGTGACGGAAAAACAAATCCATAACTAGACAAGCCACACTCAAACCAGCAGCGATTAAAGCCGTTACCGATTTTACCAGGCTAGCGACTGCCATTTCGCAGAAGAATCCTACATATAAACCCAATCTGTTCGGAGAAGAGAGCCACTATTCATCTGCAATGCTTTCAGTGCGGTTCGGCATCAGCCTGTTCCCCGTCAAAAACCAATGCTGATTACATTAACATTAGTAACATTTATTGCAGATTTCACTTCGGTTTCTCGTATTGTTTAAAACAACAAAGGTTTAAGCTTTAAATTATCTTAAAATATTTTTTCGTCGTCTACAACCCATCTGAAGCTAAAGAAAGCAAGACCTTTTCACGGTACCCTACCTTAACGGGAAATGGTCCAAAGATCCGTACAAGAAGACAACCTAATACAAAATGCGACAAATGGAGAGTCTACAGTCCGACTAACGATCCGAATTACCGTTTTAAATCATAAAAGGAATCCCGTGAAGACAAGTCCATACTTCGCACAGGGTTGTTTTTCGCTCTCATTCTCTCACGAGCAGACAAGGATTTCCCTAAAAAACCACCGCGTGAAAGGTGAAAGCGACAGCCACTACAATATGCTTTCCCTTCGACATAACACATACGCTGTTCATTTTAGCAAGAGGGGAAAGTTCAATTGTCACAGCACAGCTTACAGCATTCATCTTCCATAAAAAGTGCAACGCAATACAGCGTGGACGGGTGTTCATAACGCTAGACTTCACAATGCGGGCTTGTTTGAGCACCCTGGGCTTAATATTTTCGGTCAATTCTTGATTAGAACGTGCCAAGGTTCCAGCTAAAGCATTCTTTATTAAGGGAGAGCTAAATACGATTAGTTTCGCCAATGAAATATTTACCGTATGTATACGGGAGTCTTACAATAATGTTATAGTCATATGACATTATCAACGTGATTACATTTGATGCAATACTCCAACAGTGCTCATTATCAAAGGCTTCTCTAGCTCTTAATGTCTAGGATTATGCCAATTGAAGTCGTGCACGTGCATTCCACGACCGATGTAGATCTGTGTCTAAGGAGCATGTACACTAAAAACCTTCCTAAATGCGGGGACCCGCCGGAGCACCGCTGCCACCTTACGTTGCATTTCTAAAGTTTTTGTATCAAATCAGTTCAGCTTACAAATGAAGCCCCCACTAAACTCCAGCAAATATCCAAACAAAAACAGCTGATCAGTCTGTACTAATGCACTCCATACTTTCGGGTACTTACATGTACCATAGACGACTGAAGCGATAATACATTAATATATATGTCCTTTTCATTACTATCCAGCTGTAGAGTGCACAACAGAAAGGCCCCATTCAATGACAAGTCCCAAAGAAGTCAGGGCGATAGCATCACCATATTATTTTAAATTATAGCTTCCATCAAATAAAAATGCTCATAATCCAACATGAAAAGAAAATGAAGGACATACTTGGACTACACTGCGTATTATACAAATTAAGGGGCTAATGCCATTTTTAAACACTTTAAGTTAGACATGCAGCAATTAGGTTGGCAAACTATTTGGTCATTTCTAAGATTTTTTTGTATACTATGCTGCCAGATCATACAATAATTAACGGGGATCGATACAAAGGCAGCTCACGTGAACACGATCTGCGCTAACACGCATATTCTCTTCTTACTTTTATCTGACTATTATGTGCCCCAATAGCTCTGAAAAAATCTTTTAAAACGTTGCTGCATAAGCTTTGTCAGTATTCTTAAGACATTACAATGGCCTACACAAATTACTCAGCCCTAGTTCAAAAAAGTACCCTATTTTGTACATTAGAGAAGTGTAAACCAACAAACACCTTGCTCTTTGCGACAAGGCCAGTAGGTCGCCTGCACTGGTAGACCCTCAATACAGCACACGAAAACCAAACTATTTTATTTATATATTTAGAGAGAAATTCATCTTAAAAGCCAAGATAACTAAAACATTCACAGCGTTCATCAACAGCTTCCGGTGTCCGACCAATTCATGAAATTTGCGATAATTCACTGCGACTCAGACATAGCAATGGGTTAATTAAGCAAAATAATCATAAAGTAAAAAATAAATGAATGATAAAACATGCACAAGCATATATAGTGTAAGGCTCCAGAAATAAAAAATAATATTGGGTATAGCCTCGCTATGATTGATTTTCTGACATCTATCAGTCTGACTATCCTACTGCGCCAAGACATTAGTTGCAGGGGAATTTAAGTTAATAAAATCCAGGACAAGAGGTAAATCAAGAATATAATCGTTTTATTAGATTCTCCAATCGGTATAGAACATAGTTCTATAAAATAATGTTAATATCTTGAGATGAACTGCTAGAGAGATCGGTTTGAATGCTTGCAATCAAGAAGACCTGATCCATTTCGCTTCTAAATTGCATGTGAACCCCGTCTTCAATGCAGGTCTAAACAATTAAAATAAATACTTTTCAAATACACAAAAGAAAAATCCCAAGTGATAATATTCTTCTATGAGACAGTCGTGTCTTTGAAGAAAACCAATAACCATCGGTCGAGAATGTAACTGAATTTAAAAGTACTGTGCGTAACTAAAGCCCGTGTGGTGTAAAGCTACTGTGAACCACAGTCAGAACCTTGCACCGAGTAGACATCGTCTTCCATTAAAGGAATAAAATACCATAAACATTCAACAAATCCGCTCATAATTAATTCATTGGTAAGATGAAATAGTGAATAATACGTACCCAGAAACTCTGGTAGCAGTCGGTGAGAATAGGGTGGATAGACAATGAAAGTTAGAAGTCGATCAGCAGAAAATGAATGCGAGCCAAGCGGCCATCTTGGAAAAGCTGCAGACGCTGTCAATTGCAATAGCCTTAGCGTAGCAACACTGAGCGCATTCTAGTTACGCAAATTCCACTTTTCTTTGGTGCCGGAAACCGATGCGACTAAAAAGCATGTATTGTGTAAAGATTCCGATCCTTGCCGGCACTGTTTTAGTGATCGGACTGCGCGATCGCCGTTCTGAAGTCTGTTTGAAAAATGCAATGCTGATGGTTCTGTGGAAACTGACACCGTCCCCCAAAATGGCTTGTAGTTCGACCGCCCCGCTTCATCACGTGGTCTCATTCCTTAAGGGTGGCCTGGGAATTAGTGTCGGTGTAATCAGAAACTAGAAATCCGTTCCCCTGTATTTTGAAGGAATCTTTATTTTATGTCAGTCATATATAAGCTACACTCTGTTTATGCTTTTGTCACAATAGGTAGCCTATTTTGTAGAGACTGAGTTTCATATTGCAACAATGCAGCACAGCTTCGCGCAGTATCCTATCAGGAGTGGTAGAATACTCAAACATTCCCCACAGGGTTTGTGTATTTTCAATAAGTATATAAAACACGTGCATAGTATTGCAAGTATAAATTTTTTCTTGATTTAACCGAAGCGATGCATGCCTAAGAAGTTTAATCTAGTTAGCCTACAAACGGGTGATGTCTGAGGAAAGGTGGTGCGGTGAATTTTTAATATAGGTACAGGTACACGAACGAGCTTGCATTAGTCTACGCTTGCACTGCCCTGTTGCGCATATTCTGACTATGCCGCCACATTCGACTACATTTTTATACCGGAATCTGTGCCTCCGGATAAACATAAGCCCATTTAGTCTCACGGGTCACGGAATTTGGACGTTCTTGTATTTGTAGCCATCTCCTTCTCGACGCCTGAAACAAATACTTTAACGGCAAATCCAATAAATACAACGTACTCCCAGGGATATGAAACTGCCATTAACTAAATAAATAAATCGGAAGTCTAAAGCTTAAGTTAAAACCGGGAAATAAAAAAGTAGCCTATTACTGCAGTTGTCAGGTTGTCTGTTCCTAATAAAACGGGTAAACCATTATTTATTCAAGTTTTCCAGTTTCAGGACATTTTTTCTGTTAGAAGTAGGTTCGTCAATATGCGAAGTAAACCTTTTTATTACATTTGGTTAACTTAGACCTTATTGAAGATGCGGGTGTAACGTTATATGTGACGTCAAGCGCAAACGTCGGGACAAACTCCACCGTTGCTTTTACTTAAGCGCGACAAACTTTAAAAACGATACGTGCTGCCGTCCATGTAGTAATACTCCAAATTATACATGACTTAGAATATAAACGCGTGGTAGATTCTTTGAAGTAAAACATTAAATAATATGTCGCAGAACTTCCAGGTAAAACAAACATTCATATAAACATCGACAATAAAAAATTATCGAATGGGGTGTTTTGGGGTTTTCTGTGCGGTTTATTGCTCTTTCAGGTCCGATGTTAAACTTTGTATTCCTTATTGTTATATTACCACTTTAACCTGAAGTCGGAAAATGAATTCATTAAGAAGTGACCCAGTGATACTTCTTGTCGGTTCAGCTCCAGTGCAAGGGGTCACGGGCAAAATATTTTCTGCGGGGATTCTGACTTTACATTTGTGTGGTATTTTATTGGCTATATGCTGGATTTCTTCTGCCAGTTCAGATCCTTAAAGAACACTAAAATAGTCGATGAGTGTGTTATAAATATCAAAATATATGTTGAAGATGTTTGAACATCTGTGTTAAGTGTAATTCCAGGAAAAGCTTTACAGTACATTTTGACACGACTAATCGAAATTGCTGAAGTATGGTCAAAATGATTAAACGTTTGTTTAAAAATGTTCGTCTTTCTTGGTCAAAATCAGGAGGATGATCACCACTTTTTGGTCTTATCAGCTTCTGCCCTAAGAAGGCAACATGAACAGATAGTTCGACAAATTTCGAATATGTTGCAACATGGCAATGAAAAATTGAAAGACTCGTGGATGATTGCCACAAACAGATCTGAACAGAGTATATGCGATACTTTTTGATAGGTATTTTAACCGTATAGTTATATATCAAGAGAAGCTAATCTTTGAAATACCAAGAATTGAAATGCGCTCTCTATTTGAAGTCAGGTCACGAAAGCCTTTGACATTCCGAAGTGTGCGCGTGTCATTTGTAAATGGGGTAACATGTCAAAGAAATGAACGATCAAAGGTATTCGAGTTTCTTGCGCCATCGGGCCTACATTTTGACCTTCACACCATCGAACAGCAGCAATGAAAACGTTCACAATACAAACTGGAAGTATTCTTGGATGCTTACGAATAAATCATGTGCCTCAACTAGACCATAAAACATGACTGATTTTCGTGTTGAATGACAAACAAAATAATTACTTCGTCCAATAACTGGCTAAATATTAAAAGCGATAAGCCGCTGTAACAAACTTTAATCCATTGTAAATTATGTAGTTTCAATGGGTCCATGGAGAAAATGGAATGTCATTTAAATCATAAAAATGGTGTCAAAATCGCATATTTTTCTTATATAAACGCAACTTCAAGAGTATTTTTTTTATTATAAAAGACAAATTTAAGATCAGGCGTGTCATTTTTAGGTTATTCTACAAGAATTGTTATGCAATGCTATGTGATAAATGTAATAGTGGATTATTATTATAGCAAATTCTTCACATGGATGAGGAATTCAACTGACGCGGTATTTTAGCGATTTAGTGATTACTGAGTTTTAATACTGACAGAAAATGGAAAATGACGAATGTAGGAAGCTTTTTTTTTCAAATAAAATCTTTCAGATATAATATGTAAGAAAAAAGTAGTATGGTTATTGAAAATAACCACACAATATTATAAGTATTCTAAATGTACACAGTAACATAGGCCTACAGGATTTTATTTATAAGCATTATTGCACATATTTTTATTGATTAAACATTTCCTTCAACGGTGATGGTGTATTTTGCGGAGCTGTTTTTCCAAACTCAAAATAAGACTATGTTGGAAGTAGGTGAAACGTCTTGTTTTTTTAAGTGGCTTGTAAGTGTCCGAAATGTTTTGAGGGTCATGTAACGGCAAGTTATTTAAGGGTCTTTGTAAATTTAGAGGCGACGGCCGTATCTTCTGACGAAATGAACGTAACCTGTAGATGTTACACAGCGCTGTGCGGCTCCGTATACATATACCGCCCTCCCTATACATGCGCTTGTTCAGCAAGAGTACAGAAGAGTTATACTGCTAGGTCGGCAGGTGAAATGACGACAAACAAAATGATTACTTCGTTCAATTTTTAAGTCTTAAACCAACTTGGATTCATATGATAATTCAAGTTTTATTAAAAGTACATTCAAAACCTTAGGCCCAAAGGTACAACATTAGTGGATAATCAATGATTTAATAGAAATGGAATGAACTTATCAACTATTTTTACATGATTAACATTTGTTAATGCATGTTTAATCTTATGACATATTTTTCTAAATTCAACGCAAATAAATGTTTCTATTTCATTACATATAAGCCCTACAGCCAGCTGGTTTCACATAAATCAAGGGTATTATTCATTTTTTTCTGTCAGGAGTTATTCTGCTAGAGAACATATTTAATTATCCATGAAATTCTATTCCTTTCTTGATATGAACTAAAACTAATGAGACAGAATGATTTGGAAAAACTTTATTGAAGCAAAATGTCAATCACAGAATTATGAACAGCAGCATTAAGGTTTGTACTGAGCTGACATAACAGGCATACATTGATATTACTATACTTAATGTAAAAAGTACAAAACAATAAATATTTAATATTTTATTTTTCAGAATATGACTGTATGATGTACAATTATCAATGTCATTATTGTTATCGCCATATGTGAATAAGGTACTTCAACAATATTTAATTGATTTTAACTATTAATCTTTGCTACAGTCAATCCTTACACATAAAACTCACCCTTACAAAAGGCTTTTCATGAGTTCATTTTGTTTTCTGTAGAAGAGACACACGTACAATGAGGCTAGAAAATGGCAATCCTGAAAGATACACCCATGAGCGAAACACACTGGGACTTACAGTACAGGAAAAAGTCATCAGCATTGACAAAAATGCCCGTTCAGCATCTCCCAGCATGAAGCTTTACACCTTCAAGAAAGGAGTTAAACCAAAATGGAAGTTATGTCATTATCAAATAAAAAGAATCAAAGGATTCCAATGACCTTTAAGCAAGCAACAGCTGCGGTTGGGTCAGTTGCTAATAATGTCATTTAAAAACACAGCGCTATAATAATAATAATTATTATTATTATGTGGCATCATGTTAATTCATGCATGGCAAACATATTGACAAAATACCTCCATTGTATTGTCTTGTGTCCAGGTCTTTAACATTCAACTATAATCAACCAACATAATATATTTCATGTATTTCTAAAGAATTTATTTAGACTCATTATGTATATATAATACGATTAAAGTTGGATGGAGCCTAATATCACATACATATAAAGACATAACATGCCCTGTTTTAAACCTGGCTAACTACAGCATCTTCAGATGTTCAGAAGCTTTTAAACCACTAACACACTTAGCACTGTGTGAGAAGGCCTATCTGTCTAATTGGGATGATGCTTAGTTCAGTGCAGAGCTTAGCTGCGTGAGGAGACTGGAAACTAGTGGACACTGTGGCCAGGACATACGATGTGTGAAAACTACAGCTACAACAGACAGTGTCATGCCTATTTAATCTCTTTATCATCATGCCAATATTTCTTATGCTAATGAACAGCATTGTCAACAATAATAACAAACATCTCAGCAGTGTCAATTCTAACTTTATAGATCTTTGCAGGATAGAACAACAAGCAACAAAAAGAATGTCAATGATTATTGGCTTGTCCTTGGAAAATCCTGTTCATTTCCATGTATTTCAAACTCAGCTGTCAGGTCTTAGAATAGCAGGGATTTTTTTTTCTCCCAACACTGAACACATTGTACATCTCTTCAACTTAACGGGCTGCACGAGGACACAGTATTATTTATACAGAGCTAATATAAGGAGAATGATGTGTACACATAAATACTGTCCATCTGTATATACTAAATATTTTTTATTAAATTACTTTTTAAAAATAACTTTATTTATATTTTCACCATAATGTGTGCTTGTAGGTGTGTGTTGCTCTTATAAAACAAATACATTTTGAACAAATGAGAATCCCAAACCCCAAATTACCCAGTTTTTTATTTCACGATAATCAAAATCCTTTAATAAAAAATCTACAGAGCAATAAAACTAACACAATTACAATGCCATAGGTCACAACGTGTGATCAATAATTAATATGAAAGCATAGTTTAGTTGTGCGTTGCTTTCACGTTGTCGACAGGACTGTGACGTCGTCACCCAACCCGGGAACAGGCTGACTATGAAAACAAAGAAAACGAACGGTCTGCATTTGAGATTCACGCCACCGCATCAACATCGCGTTAATTTAATACGGATAACTACACCCCCAAACCAAGAAATGAACTACATCTCCTTAAAAAAAACCGAACACTTCTTATTATTTCACGACTGACAAAGAACTAGGGTCTACAGTTTCTATTACAGGATTGACTGGCATTCAGTAGTATCAAACAGATTCGCTGCTGATCAGTATGTACTACGCTGCTACTATTTTACTTTTGACAGCATTCAACGGCTAGGCTCTCCTTGTAAGGTCTCATACGGTGGCCCGCTTTCTTTCCTTACCCAGACTTCGCACGAGGTGACTGAATATGTACAAAAACATCCGTTCGCTAGGCGCTTACCCAAAACCAAATAGGTGGATCTCAACGAGCAGCCTAAAACATCAAACACCACCAAGATAAAAACCCAAGGTTTCCACATCAAAATGTTGCCGATCCACAGAAAACCGTCACACTTTCAGGAGAAATTAATACAACTCCATTGTCGAGGTAGCATGACCTCCGACATTGCACCACGTGATGGGGGCTCAGCTGATGTGCTGGTGGAAAAATCCAGTCTATTTCTTGAAGAAAGCGACAACTGAAGCGAGACAGCCTCTTGTGGTTGTAGCTAGTTTTGTTGTTCAGTAATAATTTATACACTTACCTCCGTTACGCACGTTTTTAAATATTTACAATCCAAGAAATGGCGTTTTGTTCCTGTAATGCTGTATTAGGTATTGTTTTATTTTGCATGTGTATTTTAAACCGAAATATAAATAAAACCCATATATATCTTCCATTTAATACTTTTCATATTTCTCGAAGGTGACTGATGTTCACCTACTTCTCACCTACACAACTGCGTAAATAACTCTCAAGATTGAATGACAAATCAAAATATTATTAAATATGCATAAGCAAGCAAAGGTCACATTCACTCAAATGATCAATATCTATATACAGATGGCCAGTTATATTCTAAGACAACACCAGATAAACAAACAAACGGTACATGAGAAAATACTTTGTCTACCATCCCTAAAACTGCTTTTTACACTTTACATTAGATTTACACTAATTAAAATGGCTTTAAGTAAGTTGCACTGTTCTATATATTTTCTGAGTGAATCGCAAATATTTTTTATATTTATATTACCTAAACAAATTAAGATGTCAAGAGAAACATAGACAAAGAGATGGTAATATATGCAACAAATGGACTTCTCAGTTTTCCCTTGGGAATCGCTCCCTATAAGGACGATTACATCTGAATGACTGTATAATGCATATAAGGGAAAGTATTGTTTCTTACAAAGCTGAATTTAAGTATATTTCTTATATCAGCACTCGAAAAAACAGTCTGAACTCCTAAACACATATATTTTGTAACACCCTGATGCTTATTCAATACATGTGTATTATGCTAGTATAGCAGTCAAATAAGTCTTTCTTCTTATGATTTTTTCATTTGTGTATAGTTTGAAATAAGTAAAAATGTATAAGTAAATCATGAACACGAAATATTTAACTTCTCGCATGTCAAGTAAATAATTATCTACATAGTTTTAACATATATAATTATGTTTTTATAAGTGTGAAATGTGAATATTGCGGAAACATCAAGGTAAAAGAATAGGACTTGGACTCTGCTTATTTGGGCTAAAAGCCTTTAGTCGGGACATCTCATTATAGCTTCGAGACTTCGGCTTAGGGGACATATCATTAAGATCTATGTATTTATCGCAATGAAAATTAAATTATTACCGCTCGCATAATACGCAATACCTTTACTTGTACCTATTATCGCTAACTTGGAAATAAATGTTTAGTTTTGGACTTACAGGACTCGTGTTTTTATACTATCACACCCATTGCTGTGAAGCTAAATGTATTTGCATCTGAGCATTCTTAGCGTCTGCGTATTCTCAGCCGTCTCACAGCGAAAGATTTTGGTTTCTGTGAATTATTGGAATTTACCAGGGAAAATGCGTACAGTACTACATTGGATACCACTAAAATAAACCATCAACGGGTAATAACTGAACATCCTTTGTCGCATTCTTGGGTTGTAATAATTTTTGAATGAATGGTACCGCGAGTTGAGTTTCCTGCGGGCGCTCGCACACACGGACAGGCAGGCGAATGGCTGAGCACTAAAGCATTCTCTGGCACCTTCAGTTCACTACGCAATCGCAGAACCAGCGGACACGTTCAAAAGAGGGCGAAAACAGAGAGCGCAAACATTTAAATGTAGTTATATAAAATAAATGATAGCCGTTTTTCACTGTGGGATGTCATTTTAATTGCAATCTGTTGAGATTCTGACAAGAAATAAGTCTCATCAGCTGCAGTGTTCTCATCGACTTGGAGCCATTCAGTTAATCGTTTCTTTTTTTCTTGATTCGAGTCATGTTATATTTAAGAGCTTCCTTAAGAGCTTAAGACTAAGGCTGGTGCGAAGTGGACTCAATGGGACTTGAACTGCTATAGTGGCCCCGTGACGTTTTCTTAAAATGTCTTTAAGAAGACACAGTTTCTCAACAATTTCTCAAAAGCTTATCAGTTTAGTGAAACAAACAGATGCATTCATTGGCTTATATTTCAAGAACAAGTATTTATCTATTTATTCTTCATAACACTGCATATATTAGGAAACGCCGTGCGCAGAATAGAGCTAGCAGGCATTGTAACAGTTCATGTAAATCATCAAATGGTTAGCCAGTTCCAATGCCCAGCTTGGTTGTCTTTCTAAGACACGGTGTCGTTGTAAAATTAAACACGAGTAAAAATATAAGCTATCCACGTCATCTTGATTTTTACGTGTACCAGTGATTGATTAAAACAGAATCTTTATTGCCTCACGACAAATCTGGTGGAATTTTTGCGACAGTTGCTGCAGTTGGTGACATCACGACAACGAATAACTAGCAATTAGGGCATAACGCAGACGGAAAATAAATACAATATACAAGATACTCAACAGAGAGGAATAAATGCAAGGCATGTAATAAATACAGTATTTTATGCATAAATATATGTCGTGAATTATATTGACAACAATTATTTCATTAAAATTCTTATCCAAATTTTGGGCTAGTCTACACTCCACTTATAGATGTCGCGCCATTTGCTCTTTGACTGAGTCATCTGTGACTTCCATTTTATTTGAAAGCCGAAATTTTCCATGATAGAAAAGGTGAAGTATTTTGTTAATATTAATAGGCTATTTTGTTTAACCTCGGTCTTCTTGTAATCATCCAACCTCTTCTCTTCGTCGGAGGGGGGGCAGCATACGGCTACCCCAGACTGCATACCAGCATACCTGCCAACATTAGGTTGCGAAAAATAGGGAAATTTTGCCGACGTGTGTGTGGGTGGGGGCGGGCGTTGGTTACGATCAACGAAACGAGCATCCGTAAATTCTGAAGTTTTCAGGGGGATGGGGGTGGTGGTAAATCGGGAGTACGGGTGGGAAATCTGGTGAAATCCGGGGAAGTAGGGGTGTTAACAGGCATGTACCAGTTCATCGGACACAAAACCACTCTCTGTGGCCAATTTAAGGGTATCGACTAGTAGCCTGATCGGGCATGCAGAAACCTCTGCGATACAGGGAAAGCCGGCAAACTCCGCAAACACGGGGAGAAGGTGGGATTCGAACTCATACCCAGGTGGGCCGAGGCAACACTACCACACATTGAGCGACTGTGCCGCTCTATATCGTTATTACTCCAAAAAATAGGCAGCAGTTTCATACTTAAAAAAAAGCTGAAGCCGACTTTTAAATTTTGGCTATACTGTAAGTTCATTCCATTTATAGAGAGATCTCGTGTAATAACACCTGGAACTTATTTTAAACTTCTAAATCACAAGAGAAGAAACACGTTTTGCAGGGCTATTTTTAAACACGCAAGCTATAGGCAACCAGTAATCACACATACAATTCATATTTGTAATTGTGACGGTGTTTAAATATATTTATTTATTTAGGAAATGATTATCAAAGAACCTGTGTAATCCATTTACTTATGCGCAGTTTCTCCGAGAAATGCAGGTCTGTTTCTTACACAAGAACAACATATGCATACGTGGTTGTTATTAAGCAATATGCGAACCACCTTTCTTATTTACTGGAAGACCGAGTTTAAAATATACGCCATTTAGTTGCTTTAAATAAAACCATGGCTCTCTAAAAACAAATCTATAATAAACACCAGATAAAGTTTCAAAAAAGAGGAATTAAACCCCTTTGAAGGGAGAAAACGCTTTTAAAAGTTTATGAACTGTTCTTGTGTTTGTTGTAGGAATGGATACATGGTTATGATACGTAATGATATGCGCATTTTATTTTATTTGCTGTCATGGCTAATAGTTTCGTACAAACTGTAAAAGGGGAAGGAAACAGCGAGCTTTATAGGAAACCCCGAGTTTTAATAGGCTATTACACAGCTGAACATACTTGTTTATCACGAGACAATTCGATATACATTCGCTGCGTGTAAATGTTAAGATTTATAAAATGCTCTGCATAACAGAAATAAAGGGATAAGATTCATGGTGAATGTAACATAAACTGTAATGTCTTAAAGACGCTGAATTTAGGGCACATGTCAGTTCCACTTATGCGCTACAGTGATGCGCAGCTGGTTAGTCGGTGGCAGCCGCAAGGTCCAAGGGTAGTTCACCGGTAATAGATTCGTTTGATTGACATCCGCTTCAAAAATCGTATATTTTTTTCTGTAGGCAAATTTTAAACAGTAAGAAATTACCTTTTGGTTTACAAAATCTATCTCCAGTGAATATAAATCATCCACAGTGATTCGATATGAATTTTTTAAAAGTTTAGAAGTTCCTCTTTCAACCCCCTGACTTATGTAATCACATTTGTTATCATTTTTTATTTATGTAGGCCTATTTAAATCAGCTCCGCTACATTACCCTTTTAACTTTAAATGTGACTTGTTTTATAGGCTTTCGATCTTCTTAGGTAATTTAAAAAGTGTTTTATAAGACGAATACCGACAAAGTATGTTAAGTGTTACCCATATACACATTCATATAATTAGATTTATTTGTGATTTTCATTAATGACACATTAAGAGAACGATAGGGGTTTCAGGGAAGTTGACCCGATGTCATTGAACGTTTTGTTTTTGTAGCACTTAAAAGTAGATGTACAAGGCAAACTAATTTTAGCCAGATCAGGCAAACTAGGCAGAGAAATTTGCTGCATTGACTGTATCAGAATGTCGTTTGCATATTTAACAAAGATCTCGTTAGAAACACGAGATCTGGGCAGTGCTGCCATCAGCAAATCAGATAAGTTTGGCCGTGAATGAGTCGAATCTTCTGATGAACTAATGAATTGCAATTGATTTAACTAGCTCGGTCACTAACATAGGCAGGTAAGGTGTGCGACGTAATGATGATTCTTTGATACTTTTTTTTTTTTACATTTTTCACAAAAACTCATGAGTTTTGGCTGCAAACAACTCAAAACTCAACGATTTGCCTGTTATCATTCACTCATTCATTCAT